TTGAATTGAATGATCAATTATTAGACCTGGACGCGCCAACACTTGCTTCGCAAGATAAACTCAAGGTATCCCCTAAAGGGCTACCTTTCGTGATATGCAGTTCCACTTTCCTGCAAAGTCTTACACGATCCCGCATCATCTAAAGAATGATGCTCGTTTGTCTGCTGGTCTCAAGAATGCATTGTTCTATCATGATGTTCGACTATGGAGGCAAATGCAATGACAGTAATTACAAAAAGTTGTTTCCAAATCTGTCATGGAAATCACTGTTTCTCAGTCTGGTCTTTTCAACACACATCGGCCCCACCCACAGTCATCTGATTCACACCACATGTTGATGACGTCTCAGGTTGTCGCAAAAGCGGCCCGCTGCTGTCGGAACAACCTGGCACCAAGCACATCACTTCTTTACATCCTTTGAAGGGATTGCCTTCGGTGTCTGACCCAGTTCCTGATTGGATCTTGGGAATCGCGAAACAACCAACATTGATCGGTAAATACTGGCACCAAAAGCAGGTCACTTCACCAAGGGGTATCCTCTGGTGAGCGAGCTATTGTCAGCTCAGCCTAAGGGCCAAGCAGTTTGCTTTTGCGGTCGAGCATAGGCTTGCAAGAGCAAAGTGAGCTTTTGCCGACCTTGTGCAGGCTCAGTGTATGTTGGACAGCCAATCTTACTGTACCTTCTATGATTATGATATGAACATAAAGCGTAAGTGGCATATTAAAATACACAAAATTGCAATGCAAGAACGTAAGGACGTTGAATCTGCCACTTTCCAAGTCTTGAATCTTCATACCCTGTGAATGGTGAACAACGGCATTCGCCGAGCTTTCCTCCACAAGCGAAATCCTGGCAGCTCCCCCCCACGTAATGAACTCAGCCGTTTGCGAGGATGGTCAAAGGGCACCTCACCCAACAAAATCAAGGATAGGCTAGGCTTAAGTTGACGTTTCAGTGGACTGTGATCGATGCACTGGTCTACAAGACGAGCTAAGCCAGCTGCAAAGTCTATGGCTTTGCGGCCTTCAGGACCTTCAATCTGCAGTTGCTCGAAATGTATGTTGTCAATGTATTGTCAATGTCTACATGTAAATAAATATACAGTATACTCTTAAACCATGTAGACGTGAGTATATATATATACTGGGTATATATACATATATTATATATATACACCCCCAAACATAACTTACATGCACATAGGATCACATAGGTTTGCATCATTTTACATCAATATATAAATTGAATCCCAACATAATTTTATGGCCCGTCTGATGGCTCCAGCCTATAGCATGTACATTGGCACGGCTGCGAAGCAACAAAGAGACAGCTCGAACATCCACCTTGACAAAAATAGAATAAAAGAGCGTGTTGGCTGGATCGTTTTGGATGCTTTGGGGTCTGAGTACAAACACGTCCAAGATCTGGTCTGCTGAGCTGACTGAGATCGGGACACGGCGTGCTGCACCATGGAGTGGTGCCTGACGCAGCCGGTCAGTCGCATTCGGATCCGCCTGAGCAACCAGATGATCTGGTCCAAGAGAATGGAGCTAAAGTTTGCAAAGGACGGATGTCATACACTTGATAAAATGCTTTCATCCAACACAGCTTAACTTTTCTCTGAGAGTGGTGCATCACGCTCCAAAAGCCTTTCCATGCCGTCGAACCATGCCATTCTCGACCTCATTGAGCTTCCATGATGTCCACGACTTGCAAAGTTCCCTGTTGTGACATGCGACAAAAGCAGTAACGAGTGCATCGCTACTAGTAGCAAGAAGCTATTAGGTGGAGGCCATCGCTACTATATAGTAACAAGAAGCTACTAGTAACATGAACAAGAAACTACTAGAATCTCGTCTTTGCTGAGCTTGGCCCCATTGGGCCCCATGCGCCACATGCAAGGCGGTGCCGCCTCATGCAGAATCTATGCCCCTGTCTCGCTCTGCTCATTATCAAAGAAGGTAAGCACCTTTCATCTTAGCCCTTCCACTGACATCACGCAATAAACGTGGCGATTTCCGTTGTTCTACTTTCCGCAAAGGCTGCAGCCACCCAGCATTTCGTTGCGAGAGTTGACATCTGCTCCGGCCCTGGACGTTTGAAAGGAACAAGAGTCGGGTGCCTTTCTAACTACACCAAGAGATTGCAGTTGCATGCCCACCCTGCAAAGCTGCAGTATTCCTGTATATGACGACTTGGGACTGGACCCATATCTGCTGTATGGCCCCTTCCACGGCACCTTACCCCCCTTACACCTGGTGCAAACCTCCATGATAAGTTGCCTGATGCTGTCTCAATTGTCCATGCCTGATCAGCAAATTCATGACCTTAGCAGCAACTCGGCAGTGTGGCTAAACACGCTGGAAGGGCTCACCAAATGCTCTCCCATGCTCTTATGATCTCTTATGTTGTGTTGTTCTTTCTTACTGTTTTTTGCCCCCCCATCCCTCTCGCTTTACATTATTTACCTCTCTCTCTATCCCTGCCTCGCCACATTTTGCCCAAGGACTGCATTTGC